TCAATCTTTATCGTCTTCTTCATGGCTTTCTCTCTCGCTCTCTCTCTCTCTCTCTCTCTCTCTCTCTCTCTCTCTCTCTCTCTCTCGCGCGCGCGCGCTCCATCTACCTTTCTTCACTCGCTTTCTCTATCTATTCTATATACATATATATATATATTCTACATATTCTTTCTTTTTTTATATCTTAATATAGCACTCTAACGTTGAACTTGATATCATGTGTAGAGAAAATGCCATTAGCGTAAAGTGCATGGACCATTATACGGTTTTTGTGATCATATCATAACATTGCGATTCTACGACATATTTTACCTTTGAATTGCTTGAAATTAATTGTTTTTATTTAAATCTTTATAAATAGGTTAGTGTTAGACTATTTATGGTTCCTGCGCCATACCATGCATGTATAAATGTTCTCTGCTTCAGTGTCATGTGCAAACGAAAGCGACAATATTTTACTGTTTAGTCATTTGCATCCACCTGCAATAAATAGACCTGATATAGGCATGATAAATGTTCTTGTTTTTATAATCTATGATTAATGACAGGTATATCATTGACAACGAAATCGCTGTTATGATAGGAGATGATCCTAGAAGGAATAGAAAAAGGTACGTATGTTATTGGTACGTTTCCCATGAATCATTATTATATCGTCTGTTCACAACCTGCATGCGTATTAGCTCAAATGCTCCAGTTGCTGATTCGTGTCCTGCTAGTGTGCGAGAGTATAAAAAAAACCATGGTCGTATAATTATGTCTACAGGACTAGCAGATCGTTGCAGTGAGTCATAACGGATTCGTTTCAGTGTGTGACGGAACCTCGTAAGTAGAGTCGTGGTAATTAGAGTCTATGCAAGCAAATTGTTCGATTAGGAGGTTACGGGGTAATACATGATCATGATACTATCACTTATTAATTTTTATTCATGATCTTTATTTAGAACACGTTCCCCAGAAGAGCTAACCACACGCACAAGAACTCGCGTCCTTACACAATGTGCTTGCATGCAATACACGTGAACGTGGGTGTACTATCTCCCGTAGTCTTCACACACAATGTGCTTGCATGCAATACACGTGAACGTGGGTGTACTATCTCCCGTAGTCTTCACACACAATGTGCTTGCATGCAATACACGTGAACGTGGGTGTACTATCTCCCGTAGTCTTCAGGTAGGTAATCATGAGGAATCACACAAGAGCAAAGTCGTACACTAGTCAGAAGGCACGTGATACATCTACAAAATTTGCACGTGCTTTCTCTCTCTCTCTCTCTCTCTCTCTCTCTCT